GGCTCCTCCACAGCCGCAGGTTTATACAGGGCCCCCGCCCGGGGTGGGAGGTTTATATTTCTCCCTTCGTTAGCTTATTTCTGGGAATAGCTGAAGATTTGTCACTGCCGGCACAGAACGGGGGCTGTTCCGTCCTGTAAAGCCCACTGACACCGCGATACCTGTTCGGCTGATCCGGCTGCATTATCAATACACAGCCAGTCATAGATCCATTTCAGCTTCTCTTTGGCTGTAGTTTGTAGAGTTAGATCACGTTGACGGGCTGTATTATGCTATACATACTCTCATCTATGTCCATGTGCATTTTGCATGCACAGGAATAACCTGCAACAACAGGAATAACACCAAATTAGGTCAATCCATGTAACTCAGATGACTGAGGAATGCGGGAATTATTAGCCACTTTTAATAACCTTTTCTCTGTGCTGTTCCTGTTGCCAATTTATCTTTATGTTCACTAAACTCAGCTCAATAATCTAGAGAAAATTACAAATTGGCAGGATGTTAAAAGCATGGTTTTGTCCTCTTCCTGACAGTCAGTGGAACAAATAAATACCCTCTTTAAGAAGTAATACAACATCTGCAATTGCAATAAAATTGAATTAAATGGAAGCTGTTTTGCAAAACTGTTGAAGAATTGGTCCATCTTGTATAGGAGACAGAGCACTAGGCTACTCTTGTCTAGAACAAGAAAGCAAAACAAAGCCAATGTATTCCAGTTCTCTAGAGAAAATGCAGCATGAAACCTTGGTGACAAACTAGCATAGATGGAAGTAAATAGGTAATATTAGAAACTGGGCTTTTATAAAAAGGAGTGAATCTCTGTCCCAGAACGTTTGAATCCTTCTAAGCTGACTGGAAATAACTACATTTTTTCCCAAAAGGGTAAGTCATACAGTGTTTCTGAAATTGACATTTTAACTGTTTTGACAGAACCTGCTACAATTCCAATTTAAATTTACACACACCTCCTCCCCCACCTCCTCCCCCTCCCAAGAAATGGTTCTGAGGAAACACAGCAGGAAAGATTTCTAAAAACTGTCTTATAGAGGATTATTAACCATTTTGTTTCCAGCTAGCTCATAGTTCTTCATCAGTGTTTTGTCTTTTAATGTTCATTATTCATCAATTTTGGGGAGTTTTCAGAATTTGGATGAAAATTAAAATAAAATTCTAAAACCGAAGGAGTAGTTTTGTGCTTATAAAACCTAAATAGAGAAAATAGTTTTCCTTTCACTTTCTGCTGTTGCACTTTAAAAATGTGTGGGAAAAGTAATTTTCCCTGGAAATACAAATGTAAAATTTCACAGGAAACTTAACATTTTTTAAATAAGATAAGTTAATTTTTTATTATATCAAGGAAGCTAACCAAAATATTAATAACCTTTAACCTGGACAAAAAGTATTCTGAGACATAATCATTATCTGATTAAGAAAAATCATCTTGAAGAACAATGCCAGTAATGAAGGCCTGTATTAGAATCTGATGACATGCTGTCATCACATGCTAATATTTTGCTGTTGGTCTGGCACTTTTTGAAGGATGCTCTTTAAGTTTTGTGTTCCATTCTTACTGTGAATAGAGGAAACCAGTAAATGGAACAAATATTTTTTTAATAAACTCCAGAATCCAGGTAACTGAAGCTCATGTAAAAAAATTTGGAATCAGAAGTAAAGGCCTGATTTTACTGAGCAATATCAATCAAGATTCTTTTATTTCTTCAGCTAGACTAGGGGCAATTATCTTAGAAATGCTAGAAATTAACTCAAAATTAGAATAGGATTTTTTAAAAATCATAAATTAAATATTGTAATTTTACTAAGTTTTTATCCTGAATTTCAAACATGATCAAATAAAACATTTATTCTTAGTAGCAGCTGAGTACTTTTATCCTGTGTCACTAGGTGGGGCTCGGCTCCCAGTTTCAGCTGCAGCTCAGCGTTTGAGATGGGTGTACAGAGCCTCACACCACTGTGAGCCGATATTCACAAATGAGGAAGGATCCTCATGCTACAGTTGAAGAAAATACCAGCAAACAATACTCAGATTGGATAACAGAATTGGATAACAGATTTAAACACCCACATCCAAAGTGTAATACCAAAACCTCTCACTTGTTTTTTGCCCAATCTTGCAAAAAATTACCCAAAAGATTGATTTTGGATTTTCTGTCTTACCACTTTCACAGGATTGAGCCTGGTTGTGCAGCTGAGTCATTTGAGCACTCAGTGAAGAGCAAGGAGCTTTAGAAGTGATATTTTGTAGTGCTGAAATAGAAATGAGATGAAAATGAATTCTGGAGAAAGAGTATTGGATTAGAGAACTGGTCCTTCTTTGTGAGCACTAATGACTTGGCCACTGGCTTGTGCTCTCTCTCTCTAGTGAGAAGCCCATGTTGGAACCTTTGGTCTCAGTCCCCTGGTCTACATGACAAGATGCTGACTTTATAAAATAGATATCTTCATTTCAATCTTGTATCCAACTACAGCCACTTCCATGGGAGATTGGTATCATGAGGATCCGCATTCACTCGTAAGTCTGCACTGATCTCTCAAGAATGTAACATTTCTTGTAAAGGAAAAGAAAATATTTACAGTCTTGGAGTACCCAGGAACTCACAGTGATTTATTTGAATTTTAAGACATTTTAAAATTTTCTAACCATTCAACCTGCTTGGTGTGTTGCAGTGGGGGAACCACAACAAGGGAGATTAACATTTACTCTTCTGAGACTACTTGTAGTTTTTAAAGGATGTTTTACATGTTAGCCATCTTCAGACATGTTTATCAGCAACAGAGGTGAGCAGCAGTGTAAATTCATGGGCATTTTTCATCTCTGTTTTTCATGAAGTCACATAGAATATGTAGAAACAACCATGAAATCAAGCTTCCTGACTCCAAGCTTTAATAACAAAGTTCTAATTATTTCTTATGACTGTAGTTTATTCACTGAAAATGAATCCTGGTGCTGCCTGCACTTGGGGCTCAACTTTCTTACCAAGAAACTTACCTGATTAAAACTGGAGCAGGAATGTGGACTGGGAGAGGAAGGTGCTAAATGAAAACATGACAGTTCCTTGCTAGACTGGTTAAGTGAGATGACTATCCCTATCTGTATCCCCTTCTGGGTCAGACAAGGAACAGAGACCAATTATTTTAATAACAGGACATGGTAACTGAGAAACTCAGCTTAAAAGCAAACATTTTCTGCCTAATTAGAGAAGGTGCAGCTGAGCATAATTTCCATTGCTCTCAAATGATCTTGCTTATGTACAATAGCTTAGCAGGCAGGCACTGTTCTCTGTAGGTAGCTATGCTTGGAAAATCCTGAACTGTAACACCCAGAAACCAAACATAAATGCCTCCTATTATGCTCAAGCTGCTGCTCAGGTTTGCATTTTAAGTGCAGGTGTTTATGACCTCATCTTTCTTGGACCATTCAGTATGAAATTTCTCATGGTAGGTGCTGAAGATTTTTGGAAAACATCAGCACATATTATTCAGTCACTTTTAAGAATGAAATTAAAGAACCAGACAATATGGTATCCCTTCTTGCATAGTAGTAAAGAAATTATTACACATTATTTCATCAGAGATGTTTAATGGACAAGAGGAAAGATATGCTTCTAGCTTTTTCTCATATTTGAGAAAATTCATCCATATTTACCCAAACCACTTTGATAGATCATGGTGTATGCTCAGTCAACTTGATGAGCTTCATAGCTAAAGGATCTGTAGTCTGTGCCTGCATGGTGCACCCAGGGCCTGGCTGGGACAGTCTGGGCAGCCCTGAAAGGTGCTTCTGACCTGTCATGTACCTTCACTCTTTCACATCAGTGACTGTCCTGATGGAGAGCAGGCACAATGGACAAAGGCTGCTCCTGAGAGGAATGTAAAGAAAAAGGAGAACTGCGTATTTTTTCTGGAGTTGATAAGGAATACTTTGGTTGATATGGAAAGCAGGACCTAGCAGGTCTCTGAGAAGGATGAGGGATTCAAAAAGTCAGTATCATGAAAGCATTTAACCTAAGGCTGTAGACAGTGGGCCATTATGCCTCTGTTGAGGCACAGTAACAGACTGAAAGCCAGGAGTGGCTCAGCAAAGGCACCAGCAACAGAAGTGAAATGGAAGTCTAGGACTGCAGGGGAATGGCTGCCAGAGAGAGGAGGTGGAGGGAGGACTGGCATGCAAGGGACAGCATGCAGGATTTGAGGAAAGGGTGGGACTGGATGTGAGTGAGACTGAGAGATAGCAGGAAATGGCTAAAAAAAGGAGGTCAAGATTGAAAAAAGTAGGACCCTGAGAGCTAAGGGAGGCTAGAACTGGTATGGGGAGGAATAAAACTGGCCAAGGAAGAAAAGGGGAGACAGTGAAAGCTGTGTGGGCATAAACAAGCCATAGCACAAGTCCTGAAGGTACTTAAAAGATTAAGACTGTGGGGAATGATCAAAAGAATCTGGGTCTGCCACCACTCCCTTTGACAAGCAGAGTATCACCTTTCCTCTCCTGTCAGCAAATATCCTCAGTGTTGGCCTGAGAGTGCCAGAGTGCCCGGGCAGACTCAGGCCTGACCGTCAACCCAAAGCTCCCAGCCAGATTTCTGATCAGAGTACTGCCACTGCTCCTCTGGATCCACTGGCAGACTTCTGTCCAAGGCAGCTAAAGAGTACAATCTTTCTGATGACTTGAGTTAGTTTCTTTGTGATGCTCCATCGTCACTTTTCTGTTTGCTCATCTGTTTGCTGATCATTTACAGCTGGATTTTCTAAATACTTTGTTATAAATATAAATATGAAAACACAGAAAAGATAAAATAAGCAATATTTTTTCTAGTAATTTTTGAGATGTTTTACATCTCAGCCTTCTCACTTGAATTTAACAAATTAATAACTAAATAAATAATCAAATTCTTCTGGATATTTCTACTGCATTGAGAAGCTCTATTTTTATTTCAGGATAATGATTGTTGAGTCTTCTAGCCAGCAGTCTAGAAGAATGGAGCGTGCACATCTTACTGCCTCTATAGTTTTAGATTACTGCTGCAAACCACCGTCCCTCCTGTGATTTACCAAACATATGAATCATTCAAGGAACGAGTATAATACCACAAAGTTAATTTGTTCCACTTGCCACACAAGCATGCAGACATCTGCACAAAGGGCCCTTTCATTCCTCACAAGGTAGAGCACAGCCTGACCCTAGAAAAGTGTTTGCTGAGTTGAACTTGATAATAAACTTTAGAGGTGACTCATTTCAAGGTCTGAGAACAGAGCAACAGAATCAATGTTTCAGGATCACATGAAACATTACCTACCAAGCCAGACAAGGCTGGAGCTGTACCTTTGTGGGAAATCAGAATTACAGTGTGCCCAGGGCTCTGACCAGTAAATGGCGTGGGTAGCAGTAGGTGAAAGAGCTTGAACTGAAACAACTTCTGTGTTTCAGGGCTGTTCATGTCCCTCTCTGGTCTAAAGAGCAGACATGCCAGTACATCTGAGTGTCTCAATACAGAGAACAGACAAGTTACACTGCTCTTCAAAACATCCCCTCAAAAAGCCAGGGAAAGGAATTACCTGAGTTTCAGAGGAATTGGGAAGTGAAAGCTGTGGATTTGTAAGGTTGGGAAATGATTGCTTGCTCTGTAAATTATGTAAAAGGAAGGAAGGAAGGAAGGAAGGAAGGAAGGAAGGAAGGAAGGAAGGAAGGAAGGAAGGAAGGAAAGCGGCGAAGAGAATGGAATAACCTAGGATAAACCCAAATCAAACAGTGTTGCAAAAGGCTTCAATCTGGACCACATGGAGTATGCAGAAATATCTGTGACCTGCAGAGTCAGGTTTAGTTCTGAATGAAAACAATGAGATGTTTTCATTAGTTGGGTGGAGACCAGGGAAATGTGGTTTTTATCAACACTAAGATAAGTAGCAGAATCATTGCAACGACTAGAGGGAAGTATTTTCTGAAAGCACAAGATGCTTCACTGATATTTTAGTCCTTGTAAGGACAATTTACATTAATGGAATCAGCTACTGAGAGTTTGCCAGAGAAAAATAATGGTGTTGTATCCAGAGAGACGGCTTGGATTGGCAGGGCTTTCGAAGAGCCGCGAGTGCAGGAGGAGCGGGTGCACCCGTCTCCCTCTGGATGTCACTGTCGGGCAGTTCTGCGCCTTGCAGCTCCTCCCGGCAAACCCAGGGACCGAACCTTGCTCAGCGGCACGGTCTGCTGAAGAGCCTTCAGTGCCATTTGTGGGAGCTTTTAGCTTCGGACTTTGCGAGCACTGCTTTTCACCGGTCCCTCTAGTGGAGTGGGATCTCAACACTTGATGGATTTATTGCTTCTAGATGTTTATTGTACTGAGGTTTGACAGCATGTACAATTCTCTCTGTGTTAATTAGTTGTCTTTTTAAAACAAAACCTGCCAATGTCTAGTGAGGCTTGGGCAGCAGCATATATTATTCTGCTTTTCTTCCTCAAAATAACACAGGTTTTATTTAGAGAAGGCAATAGGCCATCTAGTTTATTCAAATGTAATGCTCCCAACAATAGCACAGGCAGCCAGCACAGAATCTACTCAAGTTAGTACTCCATTTGTAGATTTAATTATATTCACTGCACAGTGTGGCCAATTACTTTATGTGAGAATAATCATTATTTTAGTCAGGAGTTCCACGGAAAGGGTGTTCATGGACAATAATGTGTTTCTGCATAAGTTTTATACAACTAGACAGGATCTGAAGTTCCATTGCAACACATGTTAAAAGACTTAAATATCTTCATTGCCTGAAAAAGGAATACTGAACACCCTGCTTTGCACAGCCTGTTGAGAGCAGGAGGAAAGGTGGTTATCTATGTACTTAGTGCCAATAGGCTCCCTTGTCAAAGAATCATCAATCTGCTCTCCAAACACTGATGTTTGAACAGCATGTCTATAAGATCAGTATGTGGCCAGTCATACTGAGTCAGATAATGGCCCACAGATGTCTGTTATTTATCTGACCTACTCTTTATATTGCCTTTGGTTTACCTTCATTTTTTTACAGAGACTTCTCATAAATTACCTGCTCAATTTATGTTTTGTCTTAATCAGTCATGAGAAGAAAAATCAACAGCAAGTGGAATGCAGTAATGGGCCCAGCAGCCACTGGTGGTGTTACAGACTATGAGATGGTATGACTTACGTAAACAGTTTATTCATCTCCATTAAAGCGACATTGAATCAGCACTCTCCCAGATGGGTAACTCTAACTCATAGAAATTCTGCAGTCAT